CGGCCCTTCCCCGCCGCCCCCCGCTCACCTCAGCCCGGCCCTTCCCCGCCGCCGTTCCCGCCCGCTGCCGGCGCTCGCGCAGTCCCGCCCCCCGCAGTTCCTACACGAATCGTTGCGCCATTGGCTGCCCGGGCCCACGTGACCCGGCACAGGCGGGCGGCCGCTCGCCCCCCCGGCCGCTGGGGGCGCTGTGAGGAGGCGGTGCTGCCCCGCCCGCCCCGCCCGGTGCCGGTGGCGGAGCAGCCGCCCCGCCGTGCCCGCCATGCCCCGGTACTGCGCCGCCACCCGCTGCAAGAACCGCGGCGGGCAGAGCGCCAGGGACCAGCGCAAGCTCAGCTTTTACCCGTGAGTGGCCGCGGAGCGGGGTGGGGTCTGGGTAAGGGCTGGCCGTGGGGCTGACAGTGACCGATAACCGAAGAAGTACATAAATGGCCGAGAGGCGGAACTCCGGAGGCTGGTGGTCGCCTTGGAATCCCTCCTGATCCCGGGAGGCTGGAGGGAAATAACTGTCTGCAGGAAGGGAAAGGTGTAGGGAATAAGGAGTGGACAGGCTGGGATGTAGTCGCGCACACCGCGCCCTCCGCAAGGGGGACGGAACTTGGAGGAGGGTACGCCAGCCTCCAGGGGCGCTGGAATAGGTGCAGAGGATCCATTAAGACCAAGAGATTCAGATAAAAAATAAAATCTGCGCTTTTTACCCTGCTTCGCTGCTACCTGTGTGGAAGGGTTGTTCCAGCGGGGCAGGCGGTACTGGAGGCGTTGGAAGTGCCTTCGCCTGTGTGTCCTGTGTATGGCATTGCAGTCCAAGGAAAACACCTGGCAGAGTAGGAAAGTAAACCTATATTGAATCCTTAAAATTAAATATTCCTACTAGAATTATTGGCTTGCCTGCACTGTGAACGGAGGCGTTGCTGGTTTGTTTGGAAGCAGCCGAGTTGGCCGGAAGCTAATTAGCTCTGTAGCCAAAAACCAGTTTGTGATGGCTGCGTTGTACTATCCAGCCACTGAATGGATCATTCACCATCCAGCCCGCAGTAACCTCTGGACTGTTGTGGTTACGTGGCTGTCGATTCACAGAACGGTGAGTTATAAACAGCATTTCACAATCCTGAGAGAAGCACGGTGCAGGTAACTAAGTATTAATGTATTTGTGTTAAGTAGTAGTGTGGAACCATTTGCCAACAGAAGGAATTTAAGAAAAATTTGAAAAATAAATTTCACAGCTAGCCTCAGAATCTCTTTTGGTGAAAGTTATACATCAAACTGAGTTTGGCTTCAGTTTCTGAGTAGTTATAGTTATTTCGAGATAAGGAAGGCTGTGTAGGAAGACAACTTCAAAGAAAGTTTAGATTGAAGGAAAGCTCATTTCCCTGGCGCATCTCTAATGTAGAATGCATCATAAAACAATCATGAAAATAATTTATTTTTCCTTATGCTTTAGAGAATGTGAGAGCCACATGGATAATCAAAACAAGTTTGAGCACTGAGTCATGTTCCTATTCAAATGTTATGGAGATGATTGCAAGAACACAGATGTTTTATCTAGCCATTGAGTTGTGCTGCGTTCCAAGTATAATGCTCCCGTAGAAGGCGTGCTGAGACTTGATTTATGGTGTTCTACTCCCTTGCTCCTTACCACCCCCAAAGGAGTCCTCTACTACTCTGTGGTTTGGGGTCTGAGCCCCTTCCAAACGTTTTTAACTGTAACCTAATCTCAGCTGGCCTAACTCCTAACTTGGCCCTTCTTTGTTTAATTTCCTCACCTCTCTGACTTGTGCAGTGATGGCAGCTGCTAAATAAATACTGTCCACTTCCTCTTTCCATTTTCCTTTTTTTTTTTTTTTTGTCTTGTTTACACGAGAGAACAGATTCTGTTGATGAGTAAGGGATATTGAAGCATGAGCACGTTTTAGCAAAGATGCCCTTAAGCTAAAATAATAACTTTAACTATCGGACCTGTCTCTTGCTACAGATAATTTTGTTTCCTATCTGAAGCTGACTGAGTCTGGGGAAAGCAGTGAGTGGT